CCCGCCTCCCCTGCCCCCTACTTACCAGTATGTGGTCTGGGTCCAGCACCCTGCTGTAGCCAGCGGGGACTGCCCGAATCACCGAAGCTCTCCAAATCTTTTCCAAATCGATTTGGAGAGCTTCGAATCAATTCTGTCCTTTTAATTGGTTCCCTGATTCGATTCAGAGATTCAGCCGCCGAATCTCTGGCAAATCGAATCAGCACCCAAAGCGTTGCACAGCTGTACTATCTGTGCCACTCATTCTCTTGCTTTGGCTTCCTTGACTGGAAATGTAAAGGTCCTTATCTCAGCTTGAGGACCTGACACAGCAGGGTGATATAGCAGATTGAGGGTGGGGCATTAGGTGGGAGGAGAGGGTGGCAGGAGACTGAGACTTGCCTGTGCCAAGACAGGTCCTCCCCAGACTTTTTGTAGGTCAACTGGGGTCAGCCTGTGCTAGCATGCAAGTTGAGCAGTCTCTGCAGAGCAAGAGGTTTAGCTGGGGATAGTCTTGAGTTCAACAAATTGGCTTTTCCTTGAGTGGCTGTTTTCTAAAAGCAGCAGGCTTTATGCCTGGGATCAGCAGATACTGCTGCTTTGTCTGTGTCTTTACTGGGGAGTAATGCAGCAGTAAAGGGGCAGAGGTAAAAACAGCATTGGTATTATAATAGGCAAACAGAAAATATTCTTGGGAAGAAGGTATCAGGGCCTCCATCTCCCACTGCTAGCAGCAAGGAGCAGCAAAGGCTGTCCGTGAGGTGGCCTGCTCTGGAGGGTCTCTCCTGCAGCATTGCTTGGAGGGGCAGTATGCCCCACGACATGACTTTGGTGCAGTAGCTATGGATGGGGAAGAGCTGCTGGTAAAGCACTGGGATCATGAGAAAGCATGTGCAGCTGCATTCTCCCTGCCCATACAGGTTTACTCACAAAGCACTTCTGTTGCCATGTGCCCATGGAAAGCTGGCCTGCAGAGGCTGGCTAGCTGGCTGCATGTGCTTCTGGCCCTGTCACAGAGCAGCACTGTGTAGGCTCTGTTTATAATGTGTAGAGAAACAAATCTGTTTTCTTGGTTTGTAGCAGGAGGCAAGAGAAAGCCAAGGGAAGAAAAGAGTCATTGGCAAAAGACTATTGAGGAGGAAAGCTGAAAGGGAAGGCACAAACTGAACTCCAGTGCTCCAGGCCAGTTTTTTAAGCATGCAGATCACCTCGTGCCCTTTGCTCTCTCCTCACATAAAGTCTGGTCATGTGTCTGGGCTCACTGTGTTGCAGACTCTTTATCTTTTGTTCTCTAAGGGAAGGCACTCTCGTTTGTTAATGCTCTGGCCAAGCAGTAGCATTTAGCAATGTGGATAAAAGGTCATTTGTTTTCCCTGACTGGTAGCAAGAAAGGGAAAGACCCCTTTCCCTGTAGAGTCTGGTTCACACAGATAATGTTAGTGTTTTTCTACTGATGGTTGCTAACAAGCCACCCATCTTTCTTGTTCTTCTAGTCTCTATCGACTCCATCCAGGAAGTGTGCGAGGGGAAGCAGTCGGAGATCTTTCAGCGCTATGCTGATGGCAGTTTTGACCCCAATTGCTGCTTCAGCATCTACTATGGAGACCACATGGAGTCGCTTGATTTGGTGTCATCCAGCGGGGAGGAGGCCCGCACGTGGATCACAGGGCTCAAGTACCTGATGGCAGGGATCAGTGATGAAGACAGCCTGTCAAAACGCCAGAGAACCAGAGACCAATATCCTTGAGAACTTGGGAAAGGGTGTCAAGCAGGGGTAGTATTGTCCCCAGAGGAGTTTTGGGGGACCTCTAATTGCTTGTATAGCTGGAGGCAGATGTCAGGCTCAGCGTTCCAGAGTGGCTTCCCTTACATGTTCTCTGTTTCCAAATGCCCCTGTGTGTCTGAGTCCTGGTTGTTGCACTCTATCTTCTGCTTGAGCATAAAGGGACCTGCTCCTTCATCTGGCCATGACAACCCATTCCTCTCACCCACTTCATGAGCATATGTTCTCTTAATCTCCCTCCTCACCCTCAAACTGCCTTTTGTAGGAGTTATTTACAAAGGCAGAAGTAGAATGTAGATACCCACTTTCACTTGGCTTTCGATGGATTCAGCTCTTAACTGCCTGTAGTGTTTTTTCTATAGGTGTTTTCTTGTGGCTTTTAGCCTTCTGAGATGACACTTGTCAAATGAGTGTGTGTGTATTTGGAATTTGGACTTTCCCATCCCCAGTTTCTGTCCTGCACTCCAGAGCTGACATGTTATGCATCCAGAGCCCTTAGAGGGGATCAGTGGCCTGCGCCGGGCTTTGGATGAATGGAGTTTCAGAAAAGTAAAGGTTACATTCTGCCCTCACTTTCAGCTTCTGCAGCCCTATGCATAGGTGGAATTTAACTCAGATTTGATATCTGCTTAAAGATATCTCCCACCTAATAAGGGTGTTCTGTTTGTCCTGCCAAAATTAACTTGCACAAAGAGGATTTTAATGTGTTTCACTTTAAACTCACTCTCTCTCTCTTTCTCTCTCACACACACAAAGCACAAAATATTCCCTCCTCTGCTTTAATGTCATAAGGGAAAACTGCTTGCATACACAATATTGCATCAAATCCCATACAGGGCTGTGAGACTCTAGTTCATGGTTTCTGCTGCGATGTTAAAGAACCATCACTATTTGCTTATTGCTGTATCTGCATTGCTGTCCAATACTAGGCTATTGTAGCATGCCTGCAGCAGTCACTGCTACCCAGGAGCATTTGTCAGGAATGAGCACAGGTGGGTGCTTTCTGTCAGGGAGACTTTCTTCCTCTTTGTCCTTGGAATATAAAACAGCTGTCTGGACTCATATTTGCAATGGTGACCACTGCATCTCTGACATTTTTTCAGGTGTAATATGTAGAAAGCTTCTGCTGTTCATATGCCTATTACCTCTTGCTTTGCAAAGGAAACAGTCTCCACCATGGTTTCATGAATCTGGTTATTATAATACCCTTTTCCAGGGGGCTTCTTGTGCCTGTTTATTCATACTGATAAGAGATAAAAGGCCATTAAAAGTCCTTTCCAAAGTAAGAGCAGCAAGATAATATTATGTTAAGCAATTTGAGAGCCTGGCATAAACAAACTAGCTTAACAAGGATTGTGACAAATTGTCAGTCTGTGATACCTCAGGAGGACTTGCAGACAACTTCATCTCTTTATGGGAACAATAATATATGTTTAATGGATGTCAGTGGGAAGAGATGCGGGTTATTCATGAAAGGTTGCATGCAGCTCTTGAGATACATTTACATCAGTTGAAATATGGGTTTTTATCTCCTCCTTCATTTGGCAGGAATCCCAGTGACAAATCTAGCTCACCTGGAATAAAGCAATTTCATTCCACCGATCCTAAATGTATTTGTTTTTCAAGTTAAGCCTGTGCATTTGTATGTGTAGTTTACAGCCTTGGTAAAGAGCCTTAATAATGTTCAGTAAGGTCTCTTGATGTTCTCTTACCTTCCTTAACTCTAGTTAAATGTGGTTGAAGCAAACCTTTGATGAGGCAGATAAGAATGGAGATGGCAGTTTGAGTATTAATGAGGTGCTCCAGCTGATGCACAAACTGAATGTAAACCTCCCTCGACAAAAAGTCAAGCAAATGTTTAAGGTAAGCAAGAAACCATTTCTAAAGTGAGGAGGTGTGAGCTGCAGAGCTCTTAGGACACAGCACAACAGGCAGGAGTGTTAATGCTTTGTCAGTGGCTTCTGGTTTGCTTCCCCAGCAGAAGCTGCATTCTGTATTTGGCAAGTTGAAAAAACTCCAATAAAAAGGTTTCTTGGGTAAATCCTTATCTTCAAAAGGGGAAGGATCACCTGCACTAAGTTGCTTACTGAGCTGTATAGTGTAAAGAAGGACAGGACAAGCATGACCTGTCTTCCTGGCTCTTATCTAGCTGCCCCTGTGAGCTTTGTTCCCCTCCCTAGGTATGCGCTGGTCCTGATACCGACACCCTTACACTGAATCATGCCTCCTTCCAAGGGAAAGGGATCAGTCATGGGGTAAGGTGCAACTCTTGGTGCAGTAGGGCGTTGCAATTTGATGAACAGTGTTGCGAACCCAGTCTTCTGTGGTAATCAATGGTCCCCGATCATGTCCAGGCTTGGAACAAGATGCTTCTGCCTCCACTGGCAGCATGCTATTTTTTCCATGGTAACAAAGTGGATTGTGCTTCAGCCAGAAGCCTGCTGCCTCCTCTCCTCAGATGGCTTCTGCTGCCAGAGCTCTTGCCCTGCTAGTTCCTGGGAAGTTTTTAAGTTTAGAAGGAAGAAGTGATTGTGAGTGAGGGTTGGGCTCGGAGGCAGGGGCTAAATATAAATGCAGAAGTTAGACTCTAAGAGCTAATGGAGAAGCAGCTTCTGAAGTAGCACCTGCATTAGTTCTAATGCTATAAAAGCCATCCATGCTGAGGGATCAGGTTCCATTGACAATTTATAGCTAAATCCCTACTTGGTGTAGTTTCTTAATGGCCCAGCAAAGTGCTGTTAATAAGTAGGATGAGGTGGCTTGCAGGTGACACTGGGCTCAAGCTGTTTTGATGCTTCCAAGGCCCTCAGGGTGTGTGTGGTGATGGCCTCACTTTTCCTCTTTTACCAATACCTTTTAGCTTGATCTGGAACTTCTTGTCTGTCATTGAGACATTCTGCCCTCTCCACTCCAGAGATCTCTTTTGGCATTTTCTCCTGTCAAAACCAGCTCTGGGTGTTCCTAAATACAATGTCTTAATCCTCCCGTCAAACTTTGGCTGAGTAATCATGGTTGCTATGCATGGTGCTCTACTAAGTGCTTTTCTTTTGGAGGGTAAATTTTGAATGCCAGGTAATATGCCTGACCTCTCCTCTGCTTCGATTCTGGGCTCTTAGCCAGGCTAGTAGATGTTCATAGTTGCCACCAAGAGTTAAGGCCTATGAGCATGGAATCTGACTCTATTGAAATATCAGCCTGAGTTGGGATAAAATATCCTTTCCTCTGATGCAGCAGTGGGAGCTGGGAGTGACATGGTGAAATGACAAACTAGTATGTATGTTTAACACAGCTGGTTTAATATAGGGCAGTGTTTCTCAATCTGTGGGTTGTGACCCAAAAGTGGGTCACAAGCATATATGAAAGGGTTGCGAACAAACTTTAAAAATGGATTCTCCTTTAAAGGAAAAAAACATGGGAAACTCTGGCTTTTCCCTTGCAGGATGGCAGAGCTCCAGCCTGCAAGGGGCTGCTTGGGGCTCCCCATACCCTACACACTGCAGGGCTGGGGCCTGGGGGTGGGAGGGGCACCAGGTCAGGACTGGCCATAGATTTTTACAAATGGGTCCTGGTGCAAAAACGGTTAAGAACCACTGATATACGAGATACCTGTGCACTGAAGTATTGCCAATTTTATACAATCTTTTGTTGAGCTCTGTATCCTTAACCTGCCAGGTGATGAATACAGAAATCCTTAGAGGGACTCACTCTCCTTTTGTATATGCAAGACAGGGTAAGGAAAAGGTTTAATCCTCAGAGGAGCTGAATTGTAGTCCTCTCTGTTGGATTAGCAGTGATTTCTGCATGTGTGTGCTGCTACTTGGTGTGATGGCAAGACTATTAAGCTAGTTGTTGTAATTAAAAATTTCAGGCTAGATGTGAGCCCCAGCCCCAGGGGTGATGGTGAGTGTAGAATGAGAGAAATTAAATACTTTTTTTAAACACAGCATTAGTGATTTCTTCTTCCTCCGGAGTCCCACATCTGAGAGCTTCTCTATGCTACTGTTAGGCTCCATTGGTTCTGCTCATCATCATCATTGCATTTTAGCCCTCACCTGTCTTATAGAATGTGGAACAAATCTATTAGAGATGCTATAGCTTGATTTTCATTATTTGCTTTAGAAAGATTATAAGTGTGCTAAGATGTTCACAGATAACCCAGTCACTGACCAAACAAGCTTCCAACCTAACTAAAGTTTTGGCGTAAACAGATGGCTGCAGAATGAAGAAAGGAGATTGGGAAATTTGAATATAGCACAGTGCTTATCGTTTGGCAGGAAATACCACTTACTTCCATATCTGTGTTTTGTATGTTTTAAGTGTGGTAGGATGCAAAAGATTCTTCCCAAACCTCCACAATCAAATAATATTTGGGGGGATGGAGAAGGGAGAATCCCAGGCTTTCCTGGGGCCAATTCCTACATGGTGTAATTTGCCATAGCTTCACTGAATTCAGCCAAGTATCCACCTCCTGAAGACTCATAATGTAGAACTGCATAAGCTGAATCTCCCATTGATATAGGAACATCATAACAATGACTGCTTACATCCAGGTGGTACAGTTCTCTGCAGAGAGGTCTGATTTGAATTATTTTTTGCGGACCAAAATACATTCATTTGCCATAAAATAGTTGCAGAAAAGTCCTTGTACCTGTTGATCTACAACACCTGTCTGAATTCCCAGATTGTATCCACTGCAATCTGTGCTTGTGTTGGAATGTCATATCAACAGACAGATTTTCCTATCTGTTCTGGCTTATGGCATTTATACCATGTGCCTATGAAGGCTGGGATTTCAAAAGAACCAAATGGAATTAAGTGCTCAGCTCTTGGTGGGACTTTGGGCTCTAATGAAATCCCAGTCTAAATCAGTTGTTAAATACTTAAAGAAAGTTTTCTGTTACTGTAGTACTTGAGTATCTTTTACTTGCAACATTTTGGTGAATTAGAAAAACTGTACAAATAACTGAGGTTAAGAGATTTGTCTGAGTTCATAGAGACAGTCTGTGCAGGGCAAGAACATGAAGCTACATTTCTCAAATACTGGTCCATCTTTTCTGATATAATTTGCTTACCTAAGTCCTGTTCAGATTGCAAGCAGCATAAGATTTACTGGTTAAAGATTTCCCTTAAGGTCCTCTTAAAGCTCTTCTGGCCTGCCTTACTCATTTTTTCCTCCTGTCTTGATAAAGTAGGGCTGGAATGAATCTGTCTTGATATATCATCTCTTCTATTGCTCCATAACTAGAAGACAAATAGAAAAGTAAGCAGTCTTTGAGGCATTGCCAAAATGTTAAACTGTTTTGCTGTTTTTTCCGATATATAATTTGTTGAGTAGAGAATGTTTCAGGTATGCAGCCAAGTGAAATTGAGTATCAGAATACTTTGTTATTTAGCATGGTCACCATGTTGTAATGAGACCCTCTCCAAGTGCCTCTTTATGCTTTGGCTTGGATTCCACCAAGATGCAAAAATCAACTTCCATTAACTATTTATGTCCTGGCAATGCCAATCATTCTAATCCAGTGTTTCTAGTGCACTGGCCAGTCTTCTGGGTTCTGCATTCTCTGGCCAGTTACATCAGGACGTTTAGGCAAGTTTCTTCACCTCCCAGTGGGTGAAAATCACTGTAGTACAGAGGGCTGGCTCAAACCATCAGCCTTTGAAACAGACTTTCAATTGGGTGTAAGAGCATTGGGATCCTAGAATGAAAAGTGCTGCACAGGTGGGTGAATTTCTAGTAATGAGAGAACTGATTGTGCAGGTGTCCAACTTCAGAGTAAAGTGAGAGAGGAAAACACTGCAGCCCCATTTTTTTCTTGCAATGCAGCATCTGTAAATCCTGTGTGAATACAGGCTAGGCAGACAACTCATATGGTTCTTGCTGAGTGGCCTATACTGTGGTGTAACTAGGGGGGACCAACTGCAGCCCTTGCAAACATGCAGTACTACCTTGCTTGGCTGCTGGTGTGGCCCAAGAGGAGTGCACTGCAATGACCAGCACAACCTTTGGTCACACAGAAACTGTCATTGCCTCCAGCTGGGCTTGTCCTTCCCACCCCTCAGCACCTGGTCAGGTGGCTTTGCATTCCCATCCCAAGCCCCCAGCTGTCCCTCTTGTAACTCCTTGCTGACTCTGAAGTAGCACTGACACTTTGTATGGCCACTTTGATGCCTACAGTTAAGGTCTCTTACTCAAGATCCATGGCAGAGATGATACGAGGGGGATGATGGAAGGTATTTAAGTCTCTACTAAAATGCTGTGGTTTAGCATTCAGTGGAGGAAAAAGACTTCTCAGTTCGGCCACAACTCATGCCTGCAGCAGACTTACCATGGAGCTGCCAGGCTGAAAATATTTTTAGCCTGTACTACTCTTTTCTACATTCCCTTCAGCCTGCTGACAGCCGAGGTTGAAGCCTACCCTGTTGTCTCATGTGTCCGATGTAGATTCCTCTGTGGATCTACAGTGGTAGCAGCTCAACTAGAGCGTGGCAAACAGAATAGGTCTGTGGATTGAAACAGCCCTGAGCAGGGGGAGGGGAGGAGAAAAAGGAAAGCCTGGAATATCTGCAGCAACTGGTAAAATACAGGTTACGTGGCATATGCACAGAGCTATATTTTACCCACAATTTGAGCATGCCTGGTGCTCCTGTGGGGATAGAAATTGCTGCACAAAATATCTCATAGCTGGAAAACAAAGCAAAGATGCACAGGAGCAGCTTATCTTTTAAGATTAAAATTCACATATTAGAGAGGTTGTCTGCGAGTCACTGAATAAAAGTCTTGTATGAATATAAGAAAGCAAGGAACAGATGCCCCAGATGGGGAGCTCTCCAATTTTCCCAGGAATCTGGACCTGCTTCCC